CAGGCGAGAGGGGGCCTCCGTGTGCTGGGGGTTGGGGCCGGGGTGAGCCTGGGCATAAGGGCTTGTTTCCCTGCCAGCCCTTCGGTTTAATTGTCTGCCCGATTTGGCAGAGGCGAGAGCTGCTCATCGGTTTTGTGATCCTTAAAGTCACTGACCAAAGTCTGGGCACGGCATCAGTGAGACCAGGAAATACATTTTGCATTTACAAGTAATAGGCTAAAAGTTTCACCCTCTTCCTTGTTTATGACTAAACTGACAAGCCATATATGAAACATAAGCTAACTCGGGCTACTAATAATTGTACAGCTTTTAGCACTTCACTTTTGACTGCTGACTTTTGGCCCAAATAGCTTTTGGGTTTGTGTCCTGGATCTTGGAGACGAAAGACCCTCTTTTTGGGAGCAGCAGAGGATTACACTGTCTCGGGCTCTGCTCAGGCCAAAAGAGCCGTAACAGGTATGCTAAAGTTTGATCTGCATGCTTTGTTTGCAGGTCTAGTGGTTAAATGTGGATTGTCCCTGCAATTAACATAATTTTGTCTTATGTGTAATTTGTTTCCCTTCCATTCACAGGAGTTAACTACTATTGGTGTAAGGACATTGATGTGAAGACATCATAGTGATAGGTACATCTTCATAGCTCAACTGACTCTTCTGCTGGGATGATAACCAGCCATAACTGTATCCTAAGTGCCAGACAGGTTTCATATTTACAGCCATTGGCAAAGAAGAATGCGGTGTATAGCGTGGGGAATTTTTACCCTTTCTTCTTTTTAGGGGAAATACTTGTACTGCCAACTGGCTCAGCAATCACAGGCTTAAATTTCTGCATGACTGTAACTAGGGCGCTTCAGTATTAAAGTGAACATCATACACCAGCAATGCACAGTATTAATCTGAAGCACAAAGTGTCAAAACACTTTTCAGACATTTCCGTCTTCTGGTGGTAATTCTGCACCAAGAGTAAGCATTAGAAGTATAAAATGAAATACATGTTTGTGGGAAGATGGACACTACTGATGGCATGCTTTTCTTGCTGAACTCGTCAGATATTTTTAAAGAGGATGTAGTAGGGTGAGTTTAAAATACACAGTGCAAATTGATGTTTAACACCTTAAATTATGAAACTTACTGCCCTGGGTTGTCATGGAAACACTTAGTATTCATGGGTTCAGAGAAGTGACACATTCTGGCTTTAAATGCCAAAACCAGTTTGGACCTGAAAAAAGTATCTGAACTGACACTTGCTGAAATCAGGAGAAACATACCTAGAAAAGTAACTCTGGTATACATACTCCAGTGTTACATTTTACTGAGCAACTCTTACTACCCTTTGCCAGAAACTGGATACTGGGTTAGGGACATCTCTGGCCTGACTGAAGAGGGCACTTCTCACAGGCTAAAGGAGCAGGGACAAAAGCAGCAGTGGGCAAAGGATATAGCCAGCTGTCTGTTGTTTTGGGCATTTCTGATTTAAACATAGTTTGCTTTTTCAAGAAAGCTTTATAGAAATGTTTTTTGTTGAAATCTGCTGAAGTTACTGAAATTTCACCTTCCTTTAATAACATCTTATATTTTCACCTTAATACCATGCAACAGGTTAATTAATCTTGTGCTCATCGGTGTTCTGAATAAAGTCAAACCCTCCTTGGTCCCGCATTGGTAGGTGTTTCTGAGCTGTACCTGTCACCTGCGTTATGACAGCCATGTGGCAGCACTATATCCAACGTACCACTAGAGGGCTTTGTTCCAGCGTATGAATTATATTACCAAGTTATTAAAAAAAGTATTTCATGGTTGTGTCTCGCAGCATGACATTGTCTCAACTTCTTTTGACTCCAATGGAATTGAATGCTGTCATTGCTTTGATCAGATTTATTTATTTTCACTCATGCTTACTTGCCTCAAGTTGGTAAGGAGACAGGCATGTTTTGATGGAAGGGAGTACATCCATATGTAATTATCAGTGGGGAAATACTTTAAAACTGAGAAAAGGAAGTAATAACATTTATCAAAAATAACTTTTCCGTCATTAATGGTCAGCATAGGCAAACAAATCTCTTCCTCATTTTAAACTCAACATTTGCTGGTAAGTTTTGTATGTTCAGTTGCTTCCATATTTTATTTTTTAAAGTAGAAATTATAGAAGTAGAGTTATCACGTTTATTTTCTACTTCTTTTCATGTTTCGTATTTTATGTAGTTTGTTAATTCAGCTGCAAATAAATTCTTTAATTTGGCGTCACAGCTTGCAACATTGTTCTGCTCTGCTTTATATTTGTAGTCTAATGTTTCATACATAATTTATGAAAAAAATTAGAATTTCTGTGTTTGGCAAAACAGGTTTTTCATATTTGGTAAACTAATACAGTTGGATAGTTTTGCCAGGGTTTTTCCCCTCCTTCCCGTTCAGAGAGCATATGTACATGTTGCGTATTAGTATTAAAGTCTCAGATTTGACCACTTCCTGCTTTATAAAGTGTATTTACATTAAGCTCTGAACCTGATTTCTGTTTATGCTGAAATTAGTTCAAAGAATCTTTTGTCATGTAGGAATTAGAGTGAACATGAAAACGAAATACACCTAGTTTTTCTGAAGTGGAAAATGGAAGAATCAGCTACCATGGACTTAGGTTTTTAAGTATGAGAAAAAGACATTATGACAACCTTGACAGTATCCAGATGTATATAGGAAAGGGACAAAAAGTACATGTGTACGTCATGAGAGTGGAGATAAAAGTTTTGAAGAGGGCTAGCGTGGGTAATGAGGTGTTTGAAATGAACAAAGAGGGATAACCCAGGAGCCTTTTATGTATGTGTGCATTTCGAGCATTACAAGTCACCACAGTGTGTTACAGTGACCTCGGTGCTGGGTTTTCTTCTTCCTCCTAGCAGGCAGGAGAGAATACAATGGAATCATACACTTTGGTTGCCTAATGCCTGATCCTGCGATCCTTTGCTCACATGCGTCGTCCTATTGATGGCAATGGGACTGCTCATGTGTGTAGGGCTTCTTGTAGACTGGTTGGTGTGACCCAGGGTTTATGGATTTGAGCTTGATGTGAGCTTTGTAAAGGACAATAACTAGCCTTTGTGGTAGCTGCGTGATTTGCATTTTCATTGAACCATGGCCCATCCCCATTCCTCTTTCATGCAATACAGCTTGCCTTAAAAGGCAAAATGTTGCTGTTTAATCAGTATTGTTAAATATGAGGCAGAACGCAACTGGTGTATGTACTGTATTCATACGCATTTTGAAAAATCCTACTTTAGTGCTGGTATAAATCTAAAGCAGTTGTAAGGGCTGTCTTGGCTATCTTCCAGTGTTGCTGGGAATAGCGTTTGACCATGTCTTAGGGGTAGCAATGGTAGTTTAGTGTATGGAGTTTCTGTTAACTTTCACTGGCACTCGCCTAACATAAAGTTCAAGTTGAGACTGAGACCATCAGGAGAAACGTGGCTGAAGCAGCTAACGTCTTAATGTAGTAAAAGAATTGTCAAGTAGGGAGGGGATTCAGAATATGTCTCAGTGATTCATGCTGGTAAATCTCACTGAAAACGATGGTAATTATAAATCCTGGCTGGTGGTTATAGAGATCTTGTTCTCTCTCTCTCTGCCCCCCGCCCTTTTTTTTTCTCTCCAGTTGCCCCTTTTCCTTTCACCTTTTCTTCACATTTAACAAATGTGATTGCAACCTGAATTGGCTTGTGTTTTCTTTATGGGAGGCAGGATCAGATGTCTGAAAAAAAGAGAAAGTGGAAGAAGAGATTGTATGTGGTTGTAAATGCACCATAGGTTTAAACAGAAACCTTACTAACTGAATGGAGTCAAGATGGGTTTAATCGTTTTATCGTAATTGATTCTTTTGTAGATGTCCCTCTGTAGACACCACTAAAAAGCGAGAACAATGTGTTTCATTTAAGTTTATGATTTTTGTTCATTTAAGTTTATGATTTTTGTTTGCCATTAATTTGGAACCTAAAGGTTATAGAAGCATAAAGCATGGGAGAAAATAGAAAAGAAAAGGGTAATTAAAAAAAAAAGGTGTTCAGTCCTAGCATTTTAGGCTGCATTGTGTAGCAGGATCCCTTTTAACCTTCTTATTGTAGTGGGGAATTTTAAGGAATGGGATTTGTATTGATGCTAATCAAAAACTGTAAATAAGGGACTTCAACTAGCCACAACAGAGAAGGGATAGCTGTAGGCCATAGTACTCAAGTTTAAAAAAAATCTATTCAGTGCTTGCAACCATCTTAATACACATATTTTTATGAATTAAAAAGCTACTGTTTTCTTTTCTAGTTCACCTTCATCACCAGAACAAACTCCGCAAGAGATGGTAAGCGGTCTTTATGGGTTTCTGTGTGATAACTGAGTCACATTTTATGTACAAAATGCACATAAACACTTTTATTGAACTGTCAGTGCAGATACAAAAAAATTAGATGTGAAAGTAGCTAAATTGCTTTGAAATAGAATTCAGATTACAACAGTGAGTGATTTGTCTACTCCTGGGAAGACTCCAGAGACATAACAGGAAAATAACAGAGGACTCTCATCATTTGCCTTAGATTTATAGCTTTTGTTTCCTTGAGGAAATCTCTTATTTCCATTTATTCCGCAGCTGAAAAAGCACAGACAGAGAACTAAGTTAGACTTTGAAGTGTTCCATTCCCTTTTCCACCCCAGTGTAAAACATTTCTGTAATTTCTTTTTTAACAGATGTATTTTTAAAATTCAAATGTAAAAGGGGTTTTCAAGGGTCACTTCCAACAAAAAAGCCACAAAAAGTAGTTGGACAGGCACCAGCATCACAGTTCTGTCTACATGAACTGGCTTTTTGTCTTCCTTTCCCCTAAATTAACAACTGGAGCTAGTCAGCTAGACAGATCAGCCAGCTGGATTCCAGAGCTTTCAGTAAAGTCATCAAGGCCCTTTTTAGAAACATTTTAGAAGAACTGGAGATAATTTTTGAGCTTTGAAAGAATATGTTGTCTTCTTTGAAACACCTAGAATGTAGGAGATACCTGCTTTTGTCAAGCTTGATGGTGTTTCAAAACTGGATTTTTAAGTAGTGGGAAAAATACACAGAATGTTCTAAAAGTAACCTGTGAATGTATCAGATTTGACAACAGGACATTCTCATCTGGCTGCTGAAGGATGAGGAGTCAGTGTGACATTCTTAAGCAAAGCAATAACAGTAAATAAAACATTGTTCATCCTAGCTTTTAGATGGTTGTATGATTAAGAATGAAGAAATTCCGTATGGAAGGCAGATGCTTTTCTTGCACCCACTCATTTTAGGAATAAATCTTCTGAAATGCATGGTCTTGTAGCAGCGCAATGTTAGACGAAGAGGAGAATCAGACTGAAGTTTCACCTCCATGAATTGTTACTTTTCAGGAAAGATAATTTGTCTGGACTTTTAAATCACGTAGCTGAGCCCCACAGCCCTTCACAAATAGGGTGCAGGTTTTGATCAGAAATTCTTAAGGAATGCAAATTTGTTGTAGTGGGTTTTCTTTATGGACTATTAGCTGGAGGTATTTTGTTTCTGAGAGCACTTACCAATGACCTTAAAAGAGATAGCATTTGTAGATCTCTTATGGGATAATGGGCTCAATTTTGCAGAAAGAAGGGAAATATGAGAGTTACAATTATTTTTGTAAACTCTCTAGCATTTGCATTATTGCCTGAGAACCAGAAAGTGGAAACAACTGTAAGTAAATGAAATTAACCTCTCTTGATATTGTTAGCATTAAATGGAAAGTATTTCTTATGGGATTTTTTTTCTGGTTTGTTTTGGGATTTTTTTTTTTTCCAGAGAACCATTCTTTTAAGGCTATGGGATGGAGTTAGTGCAGATCAAGAAAACATGCTTAAAGACAAACTTTTGTCTTGTATGCCCTTTTTTTAAAAGAAAAAACCAACTAATAAAGGACTATAAATGTCACATTCATCTCTGAAAACCTCCGCTAATCTTGCCATAGTTTTGAGTGTTTGCCAAAACATGGTTTAATTAAAATTCTTCCAATTTTAAGTACAGGCATTCCATTTTGGCCCAGATAAAAGATTTCATATGGAAATTTTAAGATGTGGGGGGAAGGAAAAAAACATTTGCTATTTATTTTACTTGTTCTAGGCTCTAGTTTACTTTATGGCCTTCTTTTAAGATCCTCTATTAACCCCTCTTTTTGTGAGTACGGATGAGGAGGGAGGTGAAATGGCCTGTAGGAAGGAGGCTGAAGGCTAGAGGGACTGTGCGGCTTTGTAGCTGCTGGTGAAATCTGAACAGCATGAAACTGTTTTTTCAGGAAAACTAATATTAGCTGCAAGACAGGAGAAGGTGTGTTACAGTATGTTTTGTTCTATAGAACTATTTTTCCGTGTACTTTATCAGTGGTACTTTATTACCCCTTTTTGTATGTTGGTTGCTAATGAGTACAAAAGGGAGATTTACTGGCAGCTTGCACTTGGCTAAATACAGCCTTATTTTTGATCGAGGCCATGATGGATATATGAACTTGGCTGAATTGCCATTTGACCTTTTCTGAGAAACTTATTTTGGCAGGCAGATGGAGGAAATATGTTACTGGATAAAATGAATGCCTTTGTTTAATATGGAGGAATTTTAATCTCTTCTGTTTTCTGTCTGCGGATTTGGAAATCAGGTATAGGTTGTAATACATACACCTTGGAATGATTCAGTTCTTAAAACTCACATGAGTGGCTAAGGAATTGTGGAATATATCCACATAATGTGTCCCCTAAAAAGAACTGATTCCCACTGTAGTAGCACAAACACTTGGAAAATACCTTCAGGACACTGCAACTTCTCTATTGCTAATTCTTCACTGGTAGTTGTGTTAATGCAAAAACAACCTCTTGTTAGAGTAATGAAGTGTAGTGCACTTGCGCTGTGTTAGTACTTGTCCTCTTTCAGGTCTATGTGGTTTATCATAGGAAAAGGATGACTAATGATTAAAAGGCAAACTTTGCACTTGCATTTACAGTGTTTCTCCCCTCAATTACCATTTGTTTTCTCTTTTTTACTTTTTTTTTTTTGTGTGTGTGTGTTTTTTCCCTCTCCCCTGTGTTTTGGCCACAGGAAGACACTGAGCCATGGTATTGTCAGCAAGTGTACGCAAGATACTGGAAGCACTATGACTTAGCCATGCGTTGGATGCGTAGACACCAGAAAGCTTACAGGAAAGCCGTGGAGTCCTTTTATTGCCTGCCGTGGCATCCTTCTGCAGCCTCTCTAAGGAGCCGCTACTCAGATTGGGATGGGAATCATCTCCCACATACCCAAAGCTGTTCTTCCAGCTGTAGCCCACATGGCAGAGCTCCATACCATAGGGGAGCTCAGCAGTACACAGATGCCCACCAAGGGAGGGAGGATGCTGACAGGGACTCTGAAATGGAGGAGGACTCTGAGTCTGAAGGGGAGATAGAATACGACTTGAGTAACATGGAAATCACAGAGGAGCTTCGACAGTTTTTTGCACAGACAGAGAGGCACCGGGAAGAACTGCGTAAGTCCGTGCTTGTTCTATGTTTTCTGGTACTTGGTGGCCATAACGTTGGGTGATGGATGGCTTTAACATTTACAAGCTTTGTAAGAATTCACAGAAATAGGCACTGCATGTGACCAAGCCAAACAGAAAGAAGCAGGCAAAACTGGTGGGTGCACTGAAGTACCATTCATTACAAATGAATCTCGGAAATGTTTGAAGTTTCTTTGTTAAGAGAGAGGGAAAATTATGACTGCAAAGAGGAGAATAACACATTTGTCCAGAAGACAATATTCACCTTCAGTCCTGAAGGAAAAACTCCAGAATTTTTATGGTTAAATCTAGTTAACATGCCGTATGTCTGAGGGGGGAACCCAGAGGAAGTGCTTTACATCACTGAACCTTAGAGTAAGCCTCAATGTATTTTATAACATGGAGTAGCCATTTTGTTTGTTATTCTTTGGCTAACCCAACAGTAAAATTCCATGACCTTTTTCTTCTCCCCCTGCATCCCTAGGGTACTCTTCATTCTGTACTGTACCACAAGTTTCTCTTTGTTTTGCGTCTTGATCTGGACCCGAGTCCTTAAGCAGAGAATATAAGCCAAAGGCTTAAGATTTTTCTCAGGTCTTGATCCTCAGAGATGTGGGTTATCTTTGTTTCTGTGAAATCTTTGAAAGAAAGAAAAGATTATGCTGTACTTTATTGACACTTTACTGCATATACAAATGTTGCAGGCAAATTTATTACCTGTTTTAAGAAAGCAGCACGATGGAAATAACTTTTCCCACATGACTTCAATAGGAAATACACAGAACAAATGGTTAATAGAGCTCTCTCTGCTTTCTCTGAAAGAGGGAAATGTTCTAAAAATGCATAATAAAGGCAATGATTGGGAGGGAGAGATAAAAATTGTGTTATTTTGAGTTCGTTGATCACAGGGTATCCAGTGAGCTGAAACTCAGCTTAACTTCACACTTCCATCAGTATGATGCACAGTTGCTCTAGTTCACAGAGGAATGCGAGTTAAAGATCTCAGTGGTAGTGCCTGATGTGCATCCCTTTCTCATCATGCTTTTGTAGAATCAGCTTGGTGTTCTCTGTTGAAACATTCCTTTGATGAGGTACAGGATGCTTTAAGATGCTTGACTGCTTCTGGAAATGCCGTACATTTTCTTTGGATTTATTTTGTCTTTATGATTAGTGGTGTTTAAAGGCGTGCGAGTGATTAAAGTGTTATCCTAGAAACTGGGAAATCTGGGCTTAGATAAATTCTCTGTCACAAATATTGTATATGACCTTGGTATAGCTATTTAATCTCTTCCTGACCCCTCACTGGGTGCTCTTGCTAAAAATATGATTTGATTCTTTATGAGAAGCAGGTGAATTGGGAAGAGGTTTGTGACTCAGAATACAGATTTTACTTTTGTTCCTTCCACCACAGCGGTATCTGGAGCCTTTTGGAATAATTAGGTCTCTGCTGTGTGCCATGTACTAGCCTAGTTTGGGTAAGTGTAACTCCGTTCACTTCAGCCGCACTATTCCAGATCTTCATGCAAATTTAAGCAGAATCTGGTCTTTAGCTACTGCATGCCTCAGTTTCTTTAATAGTTTTGCTGATAAAGTGAGGATAATAATTGTCTGTAATTCCTCAAAGGATGAAAAAGTAAACAAGTACTTGATTTGAAATTTAAAATGCCACAGAACTCTTGGGTGAACAGTGCTATCTAAATGATAATTTTGTGAGTAATTAAAAATACAGTATGATCTTGTTCAGAAATAATTTTTTCTTATGGGGGAAATGGAAAATAGAATACATTTTTAATTCTGTTGAAGTTTCTCAAAAGAAACATAAGCAGCAGGAGGAGGGGAAAATCATTGTTTCCCTGATGGTTTGGAAGTGAGCTGGTATGGAGACCATGTTGGAGGCAGTGCCACTCTACTTTAGGAGGTAGTGGTATTAATTTTCCTGGATGATGTTTCTGAACAAAATGAAATTTAGGGGTTCATTAAGCTGCGATTCATAATGATACTGTCATGTTACATCTTTCATACTGTGCCGAAGAATGATTGTCGTTCTGTATCAATGCTCAAGAAGATGGAGATAATGCATCCACAAAAGAAACCCATGATTACTTAAGCATTTCGTCTCTGATGCCTTTTCCTTTTGATCGCAAACTGTATTTCCTGGGCTGTCCCCCCACCTTAGCAGCAGATTTGTACAGAAACTTGGGCGCTATAAAGCTCAGTAATGCCTGAAATTTAGGCATCCATCTCTGGAAGAGACATTTGTAATGTTAAGAGTTTTAAATTTTCTCTAAACTGAATGAGAATGTTTGGGCATGTCAAAGGGGAATACCAACAGTGACCTTGATGATCAGTTGAAGTATAAGCCAGCTGTTCGGGAATGTTAAGGGGAAGGTTGTGTCTCATGTTTTCTTTCTCTGGCATAAATAAGGGGCTCCAGGTGGAGTTCACAGCCTTTGACCCCTGCACCTTGATCTGCACTTGGGAGCAGACACCTGGCATGCTCTTCTTTGAAAATGAACGCTGTGCAAGAGTTTGATATATGTTTATTAGCAGCTTGCTGAAATGTGAGACACATGGGAAAAGAAGAGCAATGGGACAAATAGAAAGGAGAATTTGACAGATAAGGAAGAGGTACAGTGTATAAGGAGGGGTACTAGTACAGAGGGTGGAGGTCTGATTTATCTTTGTGAAGGATGACTTCCACTAGTCTGGTGGTTTTCAAGCCCTGCAAGATTAGGATATAGCTGCATCAAGGCTGTGTAGTATTTTGGACGTGCATAATGAGTCTTAATTTACCAAGTAAGATATGGCTGGTTCCCACACATGATCCATGTCTCATCAACATGTAGAAGGATAATCAAATGGACTAAAACAAATCCTAGCTGGTGACAGACTCTTCACTTCTAATGCCTGCTCTAGAGTTTGCTGGAGGTAAACGCGATCACAGACATCAGAGGGTAAGATCTTGCAAACTGTGGAAGACTTAAATAGGCCTGAGATGTAGGTGGGAAAGGCATTTGTGTCTGGGTGGTGAAATGCAAGTCTTAACGCTAATTGGAAAGAGAAAAGCTTCAAAGATAAGGAAGCCATCATGTCAGACTAGCCAGAGAAGAAAACTTCAGGTTTATTTCATTTTTCTGTAACTACCACAGACTTGAAGAACAAGCAGATTCCTAACTTCTGTAGTGATAGTTTTGGTTTGTTTTGTTTTCACAGTGGGCATTTGCAGTGATTGGCTGAGTTGGACAGTAAAGCCTTTGAAACTGGCAACATGAGCCTTGCTGCATGATTTAACACTTCAGCAGTGATACAGTTGTTCACAAACAACCTCTTTTAAAACAACCTCTTTTTATGTCTTTGAATTCATGTCAAATTCTTACCAGTTTTTATATTCGTGTCATGTGTTGCAGTGAAGCTATGTGTTCCTGGAATGCCCTGAAGTAATTGTGAGCAGAGTTTTGCTGAGGCCGTATGAACTCAGACATATTCATGCACTACAAACTTATTTCGTATTCTAGATAAACTGTGCATTTGGTTAAAATCCCTTACAGACAGTTTTAATTTCTTTCCTCTTCAGTTGTTTCTTCATATGCAATCATAACTATCTAGTGTTTCTATTTTTTCAGGGGATTTTTTTGTCAGGCTAGTCTGTTGTTTTGGTTCTTTGTGTAACTGGTGAACCTAATATACTGTGCTTCTTGGCAATGTTTTTAGTTGCATTTAAAAGTCTTCCCTCTGGCTGTTGAAAAGCATGAAGTTATTTTTCTGGGTTACCATACCTGTCAGACCTAGGTAGTGTACTGAATTCTCCAAGCATCCTACATATAAAGGACAGAATACAGTAAGTTGTCTTTTCATATTTGCAAGAATTGAAAGGACAAAAACTAAGAAAAGAAGATTCACAAGCCTAACAATTCAGCAAATTGGCTAATTGCACATATTTATTACACTTTTAAATTTAGCCTTTGAAACATGTAGTTTGTCCTGATGCAGGTTTTTTTGTTCCCTTTTTACATATAAGAGAAAATGACTACTGTAATTGAGTGAATACAGCATTGCAAGTGCATTGATAACCATTGTGTAGTAGTCAACAGGCAACGAGACAGGGTACTTTATTTAAAACCAAAGAAAAACCAAGTACCATCATGTCAGTTCATTACTGAAGGATAATAGTCTGTCAATTGTTAATGCTATGACTAGTTTTTTTCCATTAAAGCCTCTGTATTTCCTACACATACGCTCCAGCTTTTCCCAGAATAATGTTGTCTCAACTTAAAATTTTCATGCCAGATGGAAAAACCTTTAAAAAAAAATTGAAAGGAAATGGTGAATGAAGAGGTTTGTTTCAAATCTGCAATTTGTAGGTTTTTTTCCCTTGGGTTTCTTTTTCTCTGAAAGATGATGGCTGCCACTGCCTCTTTCGTGAAGAGGGAGTAATGGAATTTTCCATGTTTTGAAACTTGTTTGAATAGTACCAGATCCATGAAGCTTTTGGTTTTGTTTAAGGCCTGTTTGCTTCTCTGGAAAATAGACTTTGATGCAGGTTTTTTGCAACCATGTTTTCCTTCTTTCATTCACTTTTGGTAGATGCTTCTCCATGTTCTTTGTCTTTTTCTCCATCAGGCTGTTGTTCAAATTCTTACTCTTGGTCACCAACATCTTTTTTGTTTCTTCTTCCCTACCCTAAACTGTCAAAGCAGTGTGGATGGCGACCTTATAAATATCTGCTCAAATTCCTTGGCTTTGTCAGCCTTGTTGTCGCATGAACTTTTACCACCATCTTTAGAAGTTGAATTGCTGAAGCTTCAGGGAAATGCTTGTGAAATAAGAGTGCTCTCTGCAATATGTATGGGTGCTTGAGAGACGTTTTGAAGCACGTTTTTTTGTGAACTGAAGGAGAAATGTGAAGGGCTCTCCTTTTGTACTGCATCTCTCCTCTTGATGATTGAGCCTTTTATCCTGTAGCAGCAGAATCTTGTCAAGTGCACACA